TCCCACTGGGCTCCTCTTTAGCAGTTCTGAACCGGGCCCCGTGCCTGGGCCTGGGCCGACTCCAGGACTCGGCCCAATTGCTCTTCGGGCTCCTCGGACGCTGGCCCACTTCTCCTGTCTCGAACCATTTTCTTTGGGCCCCTATCTCTTGGGCCGGGGTCCTTACCCCATCAACTAGTCCCTCACTTTTTCATACCCAGTACGCTAGCCTGGGTTTGGAAAAGTAGTAACTGTTCATCTCCTTCAATCACCGTATCCACGCCTTGAATAGCCTTTTGTAACGTCCGGATCATCAGCCATTCTCTTCGGATCTCACGGGGCCGTTTGGATTCTTCTGTCTAGACTTGGTACCTATAAATGGCCTCCTCCCTTCTTTCTTTCTTTCACAAGTCCATCATGGGTCGTTCTCCTCTGAAAGGAAAACGAATTGACTTTGGGTCCCCTTGGCGTCCGCTGCCTTCCAAGCGGACTCGGCCTGAAAGGGAACATAAAAAGAAGACTCCTCGCCCGGCTTCTCAGAGGTCTCCTGCCGGCGCTACTCCTTCAGCTTCTCAGCCGCCGACTCCTCCTCGACGTGAGGTCGCTCCATCTTCACGCCATCCGCCGACTCCCACAACTGCCCGAGTGACTTCTCAAGACGGGTCCTTCGTTGAGGTGGCGGTTCCAGAGCAACTTACTTTCAGAATGACCTTCTCAATCCTGCTGGACGACCTGGACGGGCCAGTTACGGGCCTAATGAATGATGAGGATTACGCCCGCTACCTGGAGGTGTATCCGGATGATGAGGAGCCAATTGCGCCACCACTCATGCCAGCTTTCGGGGACTCGTTCTGTCCATCCCCACCTGGACCACCGGGGGGATTCTTTGGGGGCGACTCTTCCTCGCCCGGCGAGTGATCGTATGTACCGGAGTCGGCCATAGTTAGGAGCATTTACGTATTTCTTATTGTAATAAGCCCCTTGCTACTTGTACCCTCCTTTTTTATAATAATAATAAAAAATGTTACTTTCGCCTTGCCTTATGTTTTGTCGTGTTCCGTTGCGTATGCATCCGGACGACTGGTCAAGGAGTCGGTCACATCATCAGACTCTTTTCAGTCTGACACCTACAAGATTCCCCGTATCTTGGGCGAATCCAATCTTCTCTGCGTTGGCGTGCGAATCTTGCTCTGCCCGGGAAGAGCAAGATTCGCACGCCAACGCAGAGAAGAGCAAGATTCGCACGCCAACGTAGAGAAGATTGGATTCGCCCAAGATACGGGGAATCTTGCAAGTGTCAGACTGGAAAGAGTCTGATGATGTGACCGACTCCTTGACCAGTCGTCCGGATGGATACGCAACGGAACACGACAAAACATAAGGCAAGACGAAAGTAGCATTTTTTATTATTATTATAAAAAAGGAGGGTACAAGTAGCAAGGAGCTTATTACAATAAGAAATACAAAAATGCTCCTAACTATGGCCGACTCCGGTACATACAATCACTCGCCGGGCGAGGAAGAGTCGCCCCCAAAGAATCCCCCCGGTGGTCCAGGTGGGGATGGACAGAACGAGTCCCAGAAAGCTGGCATGAGTGGTGGCGCAATTGGCTCCTCATCATCCGGATACACCTCCAGGTAGCGGGCGTAATCCTCATCATTCATTAGGCCCGTAACTGGCCCGTCCAGGTCGTCCAGCGGGATTGAGAAGGTCATTCTGAAAGTAAGTTGCTCTGGAACCGCCACCTCAACGAAGGACCCATCTTGAGAAGTCACTCGGGCAGTTGTGGGAGTCGGCGGATGGCGTGAAGATGGAGTGACCTCACGTCGAGGAGGAGTCGGCGGCTGAGAAGCTGAAGGAGTAGCGCCGGCAGGAGACCTCTGAGAAGCCGGGCGAGGAGTCTTCTTTTTGTGTTCCCATTCAGATCGAGTCCGCTTGGAAGGCAGCGGACGCCAAGGGGACCCAAAGTCAATTCGTTTTCCTTTCAGAGGAGAACGACCCATGATGGACTTGTGAAAGAAAGAAAGAAGGGAGGAGGCCATTTATAGGTACCAAGTCTAGACAGAAGAATCCAAACGGCCCCGTGAGATCCGAAGAGAATGGCTGATGATCCGGACGTTACAAAAGGCTATTCAAGGCGTGGATACGGTGATTGAAGGAGATGAACAGTTACTACTTTTCCAAACCCAGGCTAGCGTACCGGGTATGAAAAAGTGAGGGACTAGTTGATGGGGTAAGGACCCCGGCCCAAGAGATAGGGGCCCAAAGAAAATGGTTCGAGACAGGAGAAGTGGGCCAGCGTCCGAGGAGCCCGAAGAGCAATTGGGCCGAGTCCTGGAGTCGGCCCAAGCCCAGGCACGGGGCCCGGTTCAGAACTGCTAAAGAGGAGCCCAGTGGGAGCTTAGGCTGAGACGAGGAGTTGACCAAGGCCCAAGCCCAAGGAAAGACTCGGTTCAAGGAGCCGTTGAAAGCATTGAAGAGGCTCGTTTAAAAGGGAGCCGTTAGGGCATTGAAAGCAGGACTCGGTCAGGCTGTTACAAGCTGGGAAGAGCCGTTGGTCGACCGAGTAATGACGTCCAACGGCTCCATATCTTGATTAGTCTTGAAGTCGGCCATTAAGGGCCTTCAAGTCGGTAGAGGAGGAGCCGCTATTTAAAGGCTCCTCCACTCTTGTAAAAGGACAGACGATTGAATACCCGGAGAGGGGAGAATACCAAAGAGATTCCGAGCACTAGCATTATTTCCAATACAGGCATACATTTTTATTGAAAGGTGTATCCTCCAGCCGAAGATTGTGTTGGACCTCCTTGGGCCTGAAAACCCAAAAACCATCACAGCTCTTGTAAATAATGCATGCCGCATTTATCTATCTTCTTTCTTTCTATAAATAGGTTTAGTTTCATTGTTTTCAATGCATCAATCATCAATTGAATTCTTTTGCTTTCCTTTACAATTCTCTCACGTAGACTATTATATATATATATATATATATATATATATATATATATATATATATATATTTATTTATTTATATTTATATATATATATATATATTTATATATATATATATTATATTCTCCCATTCTTAGTAATTATTTTGTCATTTATATAATTTCCCTATTATCTAACTTCTGTAATTCTCAATTTTTTATTATTCGCTTCCGCATTATTCCGCTATATTCCTAACACGCCTGCATACTCATCACAATCAAACATAAACTATTTTACAAGAACAAACTATGTGCAAACTTAACAAAAAGGGTTAACATTTTCGCTATGTATACTCTACGAGACCTTAAAGTTACCTCTTTAAACGAATCGTGAAAAAAGATTTTAAAATCCAACAAGTCTATTCGCCTCTCTCTAGACTTGTTCCTCTAACCCTCCGAGACCAACAATAATGTACTCTATGAGTTAGAATAATATATAATAATGCATTTTATGTGTTAAAATAATGAAATTGTTAGAGTAAGATAATGTATTTTATGAGTTAGAATAATATAGTTTATGACTCTGTTTGGCAAATCTAGCTGAAAAGCTATAAGCTAGGAGCTGAAAGCTGAAAAACTATAAGTTCGGAGCTGAAAACTGAAGAGCTGTTATGATTGAAAGTGTTTGGTAAAATTAACTTTTTGATAAGCTGATAAAGGTAAAAAGACTAAAAATGACATCTTCATAAAATTTAAATTAGTTTGTTTGCATATTAAAATTTAACATTTTGCCTTTTAACATTTTGAAATAAAACTATTAGCATAATCATGATCTAGCATCTCATAATGAAGTAGCAATATTGTTGCAAATCTAATAATAATAATAATAATAATAATAATAATAATAATAATAATAATAATAATAATAATAATAATAATAATAATATTTGCGGTGAAAGTTACGAATAAAGGAGAAAGTTACGGATAAAGGAGAAGAGAAAAGGGTTTTAATTGAGAAAGGTAAATTATGTCATTTTTTTAAAATAATAAGGATAAAGATGAAAAAAAAAAAAAAAAAAAAAGTTAGGAAGCTAGGAGCTTATTTTGAAACGCTACCTAAGGTAGCGTTCCAAAATAAGCTCTTATTTTAAGCTAGGAGCTTATTTTGGGAACATTACCAAACAGAACTTATAGCTTATTAGTAGCTTAAAATAAGCTATAAGCTTCTAAATAAGCTCTGCCAAACAGAACCTATGTGTTTTTAGACCGTGGTTCACACAACTCCACGCAATAATGAGTGCTTCTAATTTGATCCGGCTGTGACTAATATCTTTGATGTTACTTTTTTTATATATAAAATACTTTTAATGTCAATAAAAATATAATAAATTTCACTTGCACTTGTACGATACATATTAGAGAGTAGCCTTTCAATCAAGTATGGATTAATAAAGAGAACACCACCTTTTTATCAACTGGGGCACTGAGAGAGCCTAGTTTCATTTCATGTGGACAAAGGACACCCCATCCCCATGTCCACTTGCTTTACGTGAAAGAAAGAAAGGACGCTAAATTAGCTACACGTCACTCACTATATTCTTTAATAAATTAACGCCTCTCAATTTCTTGACACTAATAACAATACTAAAACCTTACGGCACGTCGTCTATGCTGATTCCCAAACTTCATAAATTGAAAGAGTTAATATCCAATTTAATGATTGACTACAATAATTATTTTTCAATTTAATTTTAAGTGACTTTATGTACTTAATTAGATCATACACTTGAATAAATTTACCAAATTAAGTCATCGGTTAAGATTGACTTTGTAATAATTCCTTTATTAATACCAAATTTAGTCATCGACTATAATATTTTTTCTCAATTTAATCCTTGATTTTAACAGCTAACAAGACAGGATACTCAATTAAGTAAAAACATTTTAATCCAAGACCAAATTAAGCACAAAAAATTATTTACAACTATATCGATAAAACTAATATAGTCAAGGATTAAATTAAGTATTAACTCTAAATTAAAGTCATACCTGTCTTAATCTTTCCCATCGACCGCAGCTACATGTGAATGTGAATCAACAAAAATTCTTCCAAATATATATACACATCAAACATTAAGTTATACAGACATAATTTAACGCAGTTTTCCTCCTACTTACGATACACGGTATTCACACATAAACAAGGGATTAGAGGTACACATACCACTCTGCTAAGCTTATTTCGAGTATTCCTCTTCTGTACAAGAGAGCGAGCAGTTTTGTACTAGCAAGCGCGGGCGTCAGTCAGCTGCCTTGTGATTGGCCCGCAACTGCTTGAAGCTTTCAACGTCGAGAACAGGCAGGATAGCCTTGCTATCATTGGGCTTGTCGTCCGTGTCATTCGGGGTACAACTGCCAACTCCTTACCAATGTTGTCATCGGAAGAGCTATTGTACCCTTCTAGATCTGCTTTTGTGATCAGTACAGCATCTCCGGATGGAGAGAATGAAGAAGTTGATGCCGCTCGCCACTGCCTGAATTCCTGAACCGCCTGTTTAATGTAATATTTACATCAATTTGCAGATAATAGTAGGGGATGTTAACACCGGTTAGGATCAAGCGCTTACCACTACGCCAAAAACTATAGGCTAGTAGTGAAGGCACAACTTTATTTCCTTATACCGCCATCATATTTTCGAGAGCCAGGGTGCTGGACTTGGCCGTTTACCGGCCTCCGCCCAACAATCCCCATAGCCACATGGTGCTGGACTCGGTCCTTACCGGCCTCTGCCCAACAACACCTATGGCTCTATTAATCACATCGAGGGTGTGTTTGGTTGACAGGTTTAGCTATCAAGAATGAATATCAAAGTCATTGTTATTGTTTGGTTGACAGGTTTTGAGAACACTACTATGAGTTTTGATTACCCCCTTAATTGAAAAACTCATTCCCTAATAAAATAAGAGTTTCATTCTATTATTCCTCCTCATACATAATCAAATAGCAATATTGATAATCATTCTCATTCCACCCTACTACCAAACATGCAAAATACTTTCACCAAAACCTATTACCATTACCAAGTATTTGATACCCATTCCGATTCTGATTCCCATGTGGCGAACCAAACACACCCGAGTCCCTACAATAAGAGGATTGACGTGTATAGATGAGAATGTAGGCATACTTACCTTCCATTGAGAAGGAGCCAATAGGACTCTAGGTCTTATTGAGCGAACATACTCCAGTGCCTCTGAAGGAGTCATGTTTTTATACTCCACCTAAGGATCATCAACATGTCAATTCACAATTCGATTGAAATAAATGGCCCATTTCATAAGCAATGGAAAGCTCCCTGATAGGCACTATTCAACAGCACAAAAAGAAGACTACCAAATAGCAAAGCACAATGGTTGTACTCCTTCCCCTCCCAGCTTTGCAATGGACATATGTAGTCCGACCACTCAATGCATTTTCTGTAACCAGCAATGGGAAAATTATACAGCGATATCAAGGAGCATATTGTAATGCTTAGAAGTGTCAAATTATAACTGTACTCACTGTGAATAAAATCCACTGCTCGGTTAATATCCCCAAATGAAGGGGCAAACAAATAATCTCTGGTTGGAATGACAAGATGGTCTATCCCAAGTGCCTGAAAATACAAAACAGAAATGATATGTTATCCTGGGCATGATGAAAGCGAAAACCATAACTCCAGAGTATCATAGATGGCTAGATGCACATCAAACAAGCTACTGAAAATGTCGGTTAATTCTTAGGAACAAAAGTGTTCTCGGGAAGAAGTAATAGCGTTTAAAGTATAGAATGCAGGGGAGGAAATTGGCATTATCCCATCATCATCTCTTCGAAGAAATAATGAAACAAATTGTGAAGTCCATTACTGTACTGTCCTCAGACAATAATAGTACACCAAAGACCCCAAAAAATATTTATTCACCAAAGAAATATTGCCACCAAATCCTATCTGAACTATAAGCCTAACAATCTAAGAGAGAAAACCAGTCTTTGGACCACTGACCACCTAGAGAACCAAAACTCTTACCACCCTACAAAGAAAGGATAGCGCTACATCTTACTGTGGATATCTCGAAAACCCTGGAGAATTAAAGATACATTTATGGGGAAAAAATCAATATCGAGCTTGAGACAAAAAAATAAAATAAAATAAAATAAATAAATGAATAATAAAAATTAACATAACAAATAGCAATAAAGCATTCAATAACACAGAACAACTATGAGGTAAACACAGTGAAGTTCAACACTAAATCAATATTATCAGAAGTGAGCTTCCAAAGAAAAAATATAGACCACTCCAACTTCAATCATTAAATTGACACATAAAGTTATAGAACATCAAAAAGCTCAAACAACACCCCCACTCGAGTATGGACAATATTAGTCATCAACAACACTTACACGGTATAGTGAGGTCGGAACCAATGTTTCATATGGCTCATTCAAAGTGATTACACCACCAACTCCAAGCTTCTTCAATCGAGGTACATCCTTTGAAAACGGTACAGCTCCAAGCAAGAGAAACTGAACAAACCAGAAAACAAAATCAATCTGTTTAATCCTTTGGAAATTAGACAAGTAAACAAAAACAGGTGCCTCTCTCCTCACATTCCCAGAAATGCAAAGTCAACCCAAGTTTTCACCAAACAGTAGATCAATTTCTATTATTATTATTGAATAAACAAAAAATAGAAATCATTGCATACTAGTTATATACAGTACATTTCATTAAGCATTCAGTTCATTGACCTGTATAAGAACGCATCTCTTTTTTAACTAAACATATAAACACACGTTAATACAGACTATGAAGTTAAAGAAGAATCTTCAAAAATTGCAAAGATTATAACTTTTCCCTTCATAAGTTTCAATATATCAACAAACAAAACTATATGATCCCATCCAAGCACTCAAGCAATGATCACCCAGCAACTACTACCTTTTGACATTTAAAAATTTTAATAAATTTAACCAAATAAATAAATATTAGTAAATGAGCCCCAAAGAAAAATAAAATAAAAAGATAAGATAAGAAACCTGATCAATCTGATCCCACCATCGAAACTCAGCCTGAATTTTGTTGCGGAAAACATTGTAGAGAAGGGTCGGGTAGAAGAGGATCCGAGCACCGGCTCCGACTAGCGCTCGCTTCGCGTCGACTCGAACTATCATCAACCTGGTTTCGCTTTCACTTCTACACATGCTCTCACCGGTCTCATCCAACTCTTCGATCTTCATTTCACCCAAAAATACTAAAAACCCTGAATTCAATTGAACTGATTATATCCAAATCTCAAAACTTTAATCGATCAATTTTCCACGGAATCCGAGAAATTCGGAATGATTGATAGCATGTTGGGAACTTATTTCGGTGAAAATAGGTGAATGGAAGTGCAGGATTCGGTGAAAATTACAGAGTTCGAGAGAGGAAAAGCAGGGCGAATCATTGGGATTGGAGGATTGAAGGGTATTTGTGTTATTATAGGAAGAAATGGGGAGTCTCTGAGTGAGGTTGCGCCTTGGGAGTGTTATGTAATTGAAAGGAGAGAGAATATAATGGACGATCGAGTTCAGACTACAGAGGATGAAGGAAAATAGAGGAGAGTCAAGCATTCGGAAATTTGAATGACGACCTTGTGAATTTGTGATTAGAGTTATTTGCACAATCACCCATTTCATTCTTTAAAATTAGGCATCCATCAACTTCTTTTCTCAAAAGATTGAATTCTCAACTCCAAAGTGACTTAATAGAAAGGTCAAATATTGATGTGCATAAGAAATTTGCCTATTTTGGATAAATGTTGATGCACACAATGAATTTGTCCGCTTTGGGTATAATCTCCACATAACCAACCCTGATTTTGAACATTGGTCTCGACTCCCCTATACAGCCTACTGAACTATTGAGCTAAGCTCATGCAGACGACATTTTCTAAAGTTGTTTTTAGGGGAGAGCATCTGACGGGTTCAGGCAAATCAGGTAGGCGAGTAGCCTATCTAAACGGATTTCGGTTAGCGTTTTGGAGGTCCAATTAGTGTTATTTTTTTGTTTATATCTGTCGAATATATGTGATACTAACTCATCGGATTTTTGAAAATATTTCGGATAATTTGGTTTTGGAAAAAAAAAAAAAAAAAAAAAGATTTTCAATTACAAAGTTTAATAGTTTAATGAAATTAAATTATTTACAAATTTACTTTCATTCTTTCGATTGACAACTACAACTACAATTCTACAAACATACCAAATAAAACATACAAATTTATAGTTTAGTTTACACAATTGCACTTAACAATAATACGTACAGTTGAAGACTTGAAGTTTACAAAAATAGAAAATAGAATATATATACAAATTGGCATCAAATATAATAATAGACAAATACTCAAATGGTTGATGCCCTTCTAAGTTCTAAGTTCTGAAAACCAGAAATTGATCATTACAAAAGAATCTAAGCATCAAATATCCAATTCAATATCTTATTCCAGATTTTCAGACAACATGGTGGAAGTACATCATTGCAAACTTAAATTCTTGAGTTAGTAAATACCTAAGAATTTAAGATACTAATTACCATATAGTGTGATGACACCTCTGTTACCACAGTTAGATATTTAAATTAAGGTAATACAATCAATTTTCAAAAAGGTTATAGAATTTACCTTTTACAAATCTTTCAACTTCATATATGTTCTCTTCAATTGAGATTGGTTGATTGGCCCAACATCATCCAATCTCTCAACAATTTTTGGAGTTAGAGAACTCCTAAAGGCATCTAGTACCCTCCCACTAGTAATGAATGTTGAATCTGATGGAACTGTAGAGATGGGAACAATAAGTATATCCCTTGCCATTTTAGACAGTACAAGGAACCTATCAAAATTAAGCTTCCACCATTTCAAAACGTCGAAATCACTTATAGGCAATCAGCCTCGCCCACTAAGGGACTTGGTAGAAGTTGGAGTTGGTTTGTTTGGTTTGGCACTCGGGTGCTCGTAGGCAGTCAGCCTCACCCACTAAGGGACTTGGCAAAAGTTGGAGGTGGTTCGTTATGGATTGACACTCGGGGCCTCGTAGGCAGTCAACCTTGCCCACTCAGGGACTTAGCTGAAGTCAAATCAAATAATGAAGACGAACAGACAGGAAAAACAAAAGGGAGAATTTCATTTAGAAGGACGAAGCGGGCAGTCAGTTACATTCAAAAATGCGGGGGAACTTCTAAACAGCTACTCTAACTGGTTGATGGACCTGCAGTCTCCTCTGTTGGGCCAGAGGGGACGACAGTCGGAGCAGCAGTATTTGTGGATGAGCGGCGCCTTTGCAGCTGGTCGGCCAACTCGCCTTCATCTTCTCTATCTAGGTCCAAGAGCATAGCCTGAGGTGCCCCAGTCAGTGCACTGTGGTTATGTGACAACCCAAATTTAATTTTCTAAATTCCATTTTAAAAAATTCCAAAATAGCCATTTTCACTCTTCTAAAATTTTATTTTGAAAAAGGTGTTGAATTAATTATTTTGAGCCACGTTTTTAAATAAATTCAAAGCCGAGATTTATTCTATTTCTGAAATCCTAGATTCTCGGGTACATTATGTACCAAGTTTTGACCCAAAAGTCAGTCTGAGTGAAACCGAAAGAAATTCGAGAAATCTTAACCAAATGTTTAACTAGAAAATATTTTTGGAAAAAATCTATTTTTGACCCCAAACTATTTAAAATCACCTTTCTAGACTATGGTCCATGTTGCAAGGTGGACCACAACCCTTTCAATCCCTTGTCTGATATTTTTGAGAATCAACCAAAATACTACTTTGCCCTCCACCAATCATTGAGTATCATCCTAGGGTTTTGAACCCATATAAAAGGAATAGTAAGCTCACCTCTTCTCCTGATTCCATTCTTTGTCTTCCCCAACCTTGAGCTCTGCAAACAAGAAGAGAAACACAGTAAGTTTCCTAGGCTCCATTCTCATCCATTCATCCTTCTTTCCATCTAGCTTCCACTCTTATTCTTAAGTGTTGTTGTTTGGTTTGTTTGAGGTGTTTAGGTGGTGAAGGGGGTACTGGTTGAGTTGGGAAGAAGAAAGAATCCACACAAGGAAGAACAAAGAGCTAAGGTATAACCCATGGACTCCCAACTTTATTATTGACTCTGTTAAAGTGTTAGAAATGAGAAATAGTTGCTTAGAAATGTTAAATTATGGTTGTTATTGATCTATTTGTGAGATATTGTTGATCTATGATTGATTTGTGATGTTTTGGGAGTATTGGATTGCACTGGATGTGTTTGCAGATGAAGAAAGAGGCTCTGGTGCACACTGTCTGGTGCACCAGATGGCCTCACGGTACTAGCCAACAGACCTCGAGGAGGTCTGCCAGCTAGCACCGTGGAGCAACGGCTCCAGGGGACGGATCTCAACAAGATCCGTCGCCCAGGGCCGTCGCTTGGCGGAGTCAAGTGGCGGGGCTTCCCAAGCCCCGTCACTAAGCTCCGCCAGGCCGAAAAGGTTCCTGGCCGGGCCCTCTGTGGCTCATCTACGTGTCGTTTGAATCGGGATTCATGGGCCCTTGAGGCTCGGACACTCGGGTTCGTTACGACGCACTAGTAGAAGTTGATTTTGTTGAATTCGGAGCTAGAATGCATGTTTTACAGTAGAATTTGTGGTGGGAATTGCTCTTGTTGTGTTCTGTAAATGTTTTACAGTGAAGGAAAATTAGAAGTATCTGAGTTGTGTTATTTGAAAAGAGAAGCATGATCATTATTTGATTGAGAAGCATACTTAAATATTTGCTGAGAAGTTTGCAAAGAATGTGAGAAATTGGTTATGTCCAGTACATGATTTCCTTGCCTACAGTAAAGTGAATTACTAGAGTTTGGAGTATATTTTGAGTTTAAAGAGCATGATCAATACTTGTTAAGTATTTGTTAAGAAGTTTTGCTAAGTGTTGAGTTATGAGCATGAAGTAGTACTTTATTTCTTTGTTTCACAGTGAAAGAGAAATTGAGATTACTTTTACAGTAAAAGAGCATGCTTAGCATTTCATGGTTTAAAGTGCATTATTGGCTCTAAGTAAGCCTAAGTATTCTTTCAAAAACTTATATCTATTTTGGAAAATCATTATCTAGTTGCATTGAGAAGATTGCTTGATATTTGATTTCCAATTTATGAGAAAGAGAAGTTGTTAAGAATTATGTGCATGAGCTTGCATAAGTTAGATTTGTTGTGTGAGAAATAAGTGCATAAGTTATATCTATATGTATCTATTGTGAAGAATTAGAGGTTTTGGAGGCCCGTTAGGACTATGTCCTTTCGGAAGAAAAGAGAAAGAAAGCTTGAGAAAGAAATGGACATTGCGATCCGATATGAAGTAACGAGGTCGATATTCCAGAGTTACTAGGTTGGATACTACCCGCCAGGCTTGGAATCCCGTTAGGGGGTGTGCACACTAACAAGTACGATACCTGATTCCACAGAGTTTGAGAAAAGAACCAAGAGAGTGATTCTGTGGGCGAGATGAGTATTAGGCTGGCTAGATTCTGAGCCCAGATAGGTTCATTCACATTTTGGTGAAGTTCCTACCTCTCCCACGAGTAAAGAAAGAAAGGAAGAAAGAAAGCGAGTCAAGAGACTCAAGATAAAGAAGAGAAAAGCGAGTCAATGTGACTCAACAGAAACCTCCACAGAACAAGTGTTCCTTTTTACAAAAGAGCGAGTATATATGTATATCTATTTATATACTTATACTTAAAGCATCATGACTATCTTGTTGCATGATTTACATGATTTGCATGTCTAGCATTAAAGAATGATGAGATGTATAACACTTTGTTGTTGATTATGAGTTAGCTTGATAGTGAGTTGTTTGCTAAGTTTAAGCATCTTTACCTATCAGTTTGAGCTTGAGTTTGAGTATTGAGCCATGTCTAGAAATACCTGTTAAAGCATGAGATTTATGTTAAGTTGAGTACTTGAGAAAGCATGCCTATTTGTATATTAGGATGCAAGCATATAGAATTATTGTTGAGTATGATTTGAGTTGTTGTTAAGTGATTGAAAGTACTTGAGCTTAAGTGTACTTGTCAAATGATTTTCAAATCTATATATATAGTACTTTACATGGTTGAGTGGCATTATACTTAGCATTCGTGGGGCAAGTGTTTGAGCGCGCTCGAGATAGATTAGCGCGTAGCTTAGAGATGCTAGATGTTAACTTAGACTTGGTTCTAGTTGTGGATGTTTAAATCTCTGATGTTTAGATAGTTTGTAGTTTTTTTTTGATGAGCTTGACTCTAGGCAGTACCTTTCTTAGCTTGTGCAGTCATCGTGTGTGGTGACTGTGGCGGTGACACCCTTTTGGGATGGTTTTAAGTTATTAATGTTATCTTAATCTTGTTTAGTTTATCTTTTGGAAGTTAAGTATTTGTGGTTTAGATTTAAGAAAAGTGGGGTGTTACAAGTTGGAATCAGAGCGGTACGAACTGCGGGAACTTAGGAAGACTGAGCCTTAGGATTGAGTATAGAAACTCTAAGTTGAAGTCATAAGATGGACAAGTTACGGAAAGAACTCTAAGTTCTAAGATCTAAGATGAGAAAGACTCTAAGTTCAGTGGCTAAGTGTAAGAATCCAAGTTAAGAAGTACTTTAAGTGTCAGTT